CTTGTCGTCTGGAACTCGAGGGCTGGAGATCTTCTGAAGCCGTTGGCAGCCGATGGAGTCCAATTCTTCCCACGCAGCGCGTTCCTGGCTCTTTCCCGGGCAGAGGTCTCGGACGCACCCTAGGGTCTCCCAGCAGCGCCGAGCGTCAGCCCGAAGCGGCCCCTGGACGGTCAGCTCCCGGAGAGCAGAGAAAACCACGCGGAGCCAGCTCTCAGCGCCGCAGGGGAGGGACCCGTGACTCCGCCCTAACACGCCTCGCCGGGGCCGCCTCCTTCCCAGGGCCTCGCCGGGTCACACCCTCGGGCACAGAGCCTCCGGGCCCAGGCCCAGGGTTCACAATAGATACTTTGGTCAGGCTAGGCTCTCACGCCTCCCGTGACCTCACAGCAAAGGGCTCGGCTCGAGTTTCAGGAGGAGGCGAATTGTCCTTTCAGAAGCGCAGAATTTCTTAGCACGTTCATTTTTTCCCATTATAATTGTTTTCCTTTAACTCCTAATATTCCTTTAAATTGTTTAAAATGTTTCAGCCAGAAGTAGAGGCACACTCCTATAATCCCAGCACTGCGGTGCTGAAGCAGGAGAATGGCAAATTTGAATACAGCCTAGGCAATTTAGAGACTAGTGAAACTCTGCCACAAAAGCAAAACAAGACAAAAAAACCCTTAAAAATTCGGGGGGGGGGGGGGGGGGCTAGAGATGTAGCTCAGTGAAAAGGCCCTGCGTTCAAAGCCTAGTACAAAAAAAAAGTTTCATGTTATATATTTGTGCTCCCCAAAGTGGTCCAGAGAAATTGAGGCGGGAGGTCAGCATGCGGAAGATGGTCTGCGCTGCTGAGAAGCACTGAATTCTGCTTTGCAGATCAGTGAATGTGGGAAGTGAAGCCAAACAGGTGGGTTGGAATCCACCTCTAACACTAACTAGCATGACTAAGCAAGTTGCATAACTTTCCTGAGCCTTAGTTTCCTCATCTGCAAAAAACTGGAATAATAATGGTCTCTAACACACGGTTGTTGTGATTAAATGAGAATAAATGCTCACTAAATATGTAGTAGCTGCTGCTCTTGTATTTTTGTTATTTTGTTTTTGTCGTGCTGGAGATGGAACCCAGGGCCTTGCACGTGTTAGGCAAGTGCTGCTGTACCACTGAGCCACATCTCCAGCACTGTATTGTTTTATTCTCTTTCATTATATGAGGTGTGATTATTTAAAAAATAGAGTCAACATTTAAATTTTCAAGAAATGGCTCAGGTGGGGAAGTGCACATCTGTGACGCCATCACTTGGGAAGCTAAGGCGGGAGAATCTTCCCCAGTTCAGGGCCAGTGTGGGCAACATAGTTAAAAGCCATCTAAACTACATAGTGAGACCCTATTTCAAAAAACAAAAAATATCACTCCATAAGTTTTAATAAATATGCAACAGTAAAGGAAATATTGCCATTTATCCTCCTCAAAATACTCTTCCTTGCTCGGAAGTTATTTCCATCATTCTTGATACTTTCTGAAGCAATTCTGGAAAGTCCTCTATTGTGGTTGACTTTAGTGTGTACCTGTGTCGTGAATCATTTCAAAATGTTTAACCTGTCGTGGTCATTGTGATTTTGGGAAAGAGCCAGAAGGTTTATGGTGCCAGATCTGATGAATAAGGTGGAAGAGAACACACTGTGATGTTTTTACCAACCTGCTTGTCTGGTGGGTGGCACTCAGTGACAGTTTTCACTGTATTTTTTATCATATCCCATAAAGACACAAAAGTAGACTCAGAAATGCTTCAGAAAGTGGCAAGAACAGTGGGATAAATGTGTCTCAAGCAAGGGGGAGTACTTAAGAAGCATTGTGTCTTACTAAAAAAAAAATTTTTTTTTGGTACTGGGGATCAAACTCAGGTCCTTGCGCTTGTGAGACAGTCGCCAGAACCACTGAGCCAAATCTCCGGCCCCCCCAAAAAAAATTTTTTTTGAGACATGGTCTTGCTATGTAGTTCAGGCTGCCCTTGAACTTACTTTGTAGGGTAGGCTGGCCTGGAACTTGTGGCAATCCTCCTGCCTCAGGCATCCAAGAGCTGGGATTATAGACTTGTGCCAACACACCCAGCCCCATTTTAAAAAAATTTAAACACCCACCTTATATTTTGATTACATCTCGTACAATGCCAGTGGCACCTCCTGAGAGTATTGTATGACCTCCTAGGACTCAGGCAGGGTCTGCACAAGTATGGGTCAAAGGCCAAGCAGCCTTGTCAATGAGCAGCTTGTGTAATGGCTTAAAAGCCTTGGTTCCCTCCAGATAATTCTGGCTATCATTAATGCTTGTCCTTCCACTTCATCCTCATCCCAAGACTTTTCCCTTGGCTCCAGGTACCCATTAGTGGAAGGGTGCCCAGCTCCTGCCAAGTACCATTTTATTACTTACTACATGCCAATGAGAAATGCTTAGCCTTTCCATTTGCCAAACCAGGAATGTAGTCCCAGTTTAGCTTCCTTCCCAGGATACCTCATGGTATACAGGATGAGACTGAACCATGGTCTTGGGCTGAAGCCTTAAGTGACTGCAGGACCAATGAAAGACTATACAGTGGGGCCAACTAGAGGTCCTCATCTCCCCTCCCTGCCAAAAGGAAAGTATGTCTATTACGGGATCACAGACTGCTGAATTCTCAGATTACAAAGTGTGTGCAGCTGGAGAGTTACAACCTAGCAAGAGGCCTAGATTTTAATCTGTGAACTCGGGCCTGGCCTGATGGCGGGTCTGCCCTGGCTGGGGGCGGGGAGGTGGGGCGGGGCCGCGCAGACCAAGCAGGGAAGGCAACAGGGTCACAAAAAATGACTAATAGGCTATATTAGAAGTAACAGGTGTAGAACTACTCCTCACTAGGTCTGAGCACTGGAAGTCAACGGGAGGGCCCTGATTTTGGTGAATTCTGAGGAAGGGGCTCGGGGAACAGAGTTCTCAGTGAGGGCTGGGGCAGAATGGGCCACCTAGACCGTTCATAGTCAGGAGCCAGGTGAGCAGCTCTAGAGTCTCTGCCCTGTGGTTCAGGCTCAGAAGTTTCTACTTAGGACCCAGGTACAAAGACCAGAAACAGGACTCCTTATTCTTCACTTCCTTCCTCGAGCATTAAGGTTTGTGAAGGCTGTCTGAAACAAAGGGGGATTTGGGCTGGGGCGTGGCGCCTTGCAGGGGCACTGTGCTGGTCCTTGAACCAGCGCAGATACCGGTCTTCCTCTGCACCACCTCCTTGAAGCTCTGCTGGCGTTCAGACCCACGTCGGACTCCTGTTCCCTTACGGTCAGGACCCTACGGATCTTTCAGGAGATGGGTCCTCCTGTAGATGTGCTACATGTGCTGGGGGCAGGCGACTGAGCCGAAGCCGAGGACGCCACTGGAGGGCGTGCGGGGCCAGGGTGCTGGATGGTGGAGCTGCCCAGTTTCCGGTTACTTTTGCTTTCTCTGTCCGCTGGGACCGGAGAGGTGAAAGGAATCCCTCTTGCAGCTTTGAGCCTAAGCCTTGCCGGTACCGGGGGCGGATTCCGCTCTACTGAGCTCTCTGAAATCAGAACCGCCTCTCCCACCTCTCCCGCCTCCGCTCCCTTCTCTCGCCTTCCAGCCCCAGCTTGCCAGCTCCGGGCCCGCCCCGCCACCCTGGCTCGCGGCCATCGCCGAACCCACGCCTTCCGGGCCCGCCCCCAGCTCTTCTGGGTTTCCTTTCCTCCGGAAGCTGGCCCGGAAAACTCTCGCGTTTCCGAGTTAGTCCTTGCGGCCCGCAGATCGTCCCTGTGCTCCCTTGTGGAAGGTTTTCCCTTATTTCAAGAGGTAGCCCAGAAAGCCTTAGAAAAGATAACATTTATGTTTTTGTGTGTGGTAAACACACATATTTACTACCGATTAAGCAAAGGTTTCCCGCTTCACGGTCCTCCTTTTACCCGTCTCTGGCGACCACCATTCTCCTTTCTCTGATTTTAACGATTCTGAGAACCTTAGAATCATAAAGAAAGTATATGTTGCTCTTTTCCTTGTCGTTCTGGGGATCAGTTCCAGGGGTTGGCGCTCTTCTTCGAGCTAGGCCCAGTACTGTATTTCTCTTTTTAAAATTTCACTTAACATAATGCCTCAGGGTTTTTTTGTCCTGAAAGAACTGAGCCAGATGGCTCAGTAAGGCAGACTTCTTTCCCAGCGGAGGAACAGGCCTAAAAGCCTGTGCCAGGAATGCTAGGCCAAAGGTCAGTGCAGCTGGAGGAAGGTAAGGAGTAAGGAGAGTGGTATCCGCAAGGTCAAATCTTGCAGCAATTAGGTCTCGAGTCTTGACTTTTACCCTTAGTGAAATAGCACGCCAGCTGGGCGTGGTGGCGCACACCTGTAATCCCCGCTCTCGGGAGGCTGAGTCAGGAGGATCACTGTGAGTTCGAGACCAGCCTGGGCTGGGCTACAGGGTGTGTTCCAGGTCAGTCTCAACTACATAGTGAGACCCTGTCTCAAAAAACCAAACCAAAACAAAACAAAAAAAACAAAAACGCCATTGGAAGGCAGATCTGACTCCCCCTTTTATTAGTACATGTTTGCCATACGTAATATAGTCATCGTGCAGAGCACAAATGCATATGGTACAAATGCATATTGCATTTTAATCCTTTTTCTCTCCCCTTACCTTCCCCTCCCACCTTTTTTCTTTTGGTGTGGTGCTGGGGTGGAATCCAGGGCCTCGAACTGCACTGTGCCCGGGGGTGGGGAGGGGGGCAGACCATATCTCTACTGCACCTCCTTGACAGTGTTGAAAATAAGCAGGAGGGAAGCAGGTAGAGAAGAGAGGCGAGTGAGGAAGTGATGGCTTCCAACATTGTCTTGAGGACTGGGGAAGGCCTCCCAGAGGAAGGAACTGTCAAGACCAGCAGATTGAATGGGAAACAACAAGGTGAAATATTGTTTACACTGGGAGGTGGGCCCGCAGTTATGTGTTACAGGGAAGGGCACAGTTTATATAAAAGCCTGGGACCCTGATTAGCAATTATAAGTCATTAAATCCTTCCTTAGACTGGGGACTTTCTTGGGGGAACAGGTGGATTTTCCAGAGCCCCAAAGCAGAATCTTCTATCAGTCTCTACAGGGTCCTTGCTCAATGTGTAAGGCAGGTGGGAACCCTTATGCACTGGGTTTCAAAAATCCACCCCTTATTTTTCAACTCTAAATTTTTACGTTAGTGTAATAGTAGCTCATTGTGTGTCTTAGTAGGTTTCCATGAGGAATGCAGGAAGCAATCTTTGTGTTTATCCACTTGGTAGGATGAATGGCAAGGTGTGGGCATCTTTGCCAAAGTGTCAAACCAGGATTTGTACCACATTATGCTCTGTCAAACAGGTTTTTTGCATGTTTACCAGAGCATCACAGAGGGTATAATACACTCACACTACTCTAGGATTTGTTTTTTGGTTTTTTTTTTAGTTTTCTTTTTATTTTTCTGGTGGAAGTAGCCCAATTCGGTACAATGAAAAACCAGATTTGTAAGTTTTAGAGGAAGTCAAAAGTAAATCATCGGATTATTCATGCATAGACGATGAAGATGATCCATTATGGTAAAATACATGTTTTCATAACAGAAGAGTGGTGTGGGTGTGTGATGATGATGACGATGACAACTTTGATGTTGGCCGTGTGGATAGAGACAGGTAAGTTAGGTAGAAATATTGTAGGCTGTCAGGGCAAGGCCTTCGTTAGTTCAGAAGATGAGAACACATTAAAACTGGCCAACCAGAGTTCGATCCCCAGTACAAAAAAAAAAAAAAAA